GGAAAAAATGGCATCGCTACTAGGAGCAAGAAGCTACTAGTAGCTCCTGGCACTACTACTAGGAGGAAGGACGCTACCAGGAACAAAGGGCATCGCTACTAGGAGCAAGAAGCTACTAGTATCTCCTGGCATTGCTACTAGGAGGAAGGACGCTACCAGGAAAAAAGGGCATCGCTACTAGGAGCAAGAAGCTACTAGTATCTCCTGGCATTACTACTAGGAGGAAGGACGCTACCAGGAAAAAATGGCATCGCTACTGGGAGCAAGAAGCTACTAATATCTCCTGGCATTACTAGGAGGAAGGACGCTACTAGGAACAAATGGCATCGCTACTAGGAGCAAGAAGCTACTAGTAGCTCCTGGCATTACTACTGGGAGGAAGGACGCTACTAGGGACAAAGGGCATCGGTACTAGGAGCAAGAAGCTACTACTAGTAGCTCCTGGCATTACTAGGAGGAAGGACGCTACTAGGAACAAAGGGCATCGCTACTAGGAGCAAGAAGCTACTAGTAGCTCCTGGCATTGCTACTGGGAGGAGGGACGCTACTAGGAACAGAGGGCATCGCTACTAGGAGCTAGAAGCTACTAGTAGCTCCTGGCATTACTACTGGGCGGAAGGACGCTACTAGAAACAAAGGGCATTGCTACTAGGAGCAAGAAGCTACTAGTAGCTCCTGGCATGTCTAATAGGAGGAATGACGCTACTAGGAACAAAGGGCATCGCTACTAGGAGCAAAGACGCTACTAGTCCCGGAATGCTCTCCGTCGGGAAGTGGAAGTGTCCTTAATGCCACCAAAATGGCATGATAAACCCATATTGCGTTGTTCCGCTCTGAGGGCAATCATCCACTGCTACAAAGGCCACGAAGATCAACGCACACGCTTGGGAATGTAGATGTTCAACACTTCAAAACACCATCAAACGGGTGTTCTTGCATTTTTTTGTTAGAGGGTGAGGCCAAATATGGCCAAGTATTCCCAAGACTTCGTCAGAGACGTTTCGGGATCTCACCACCATCCATGTCAACTTCCAGCCGACTTTTGGGTCTCCAAGTTTGGAACACCCCGTCTTCAAGTTCACGTGCTCCACTCAACTTGATGGGTGTTCAATTGGACACACCATTGCACGTCACTCCTTACTCCAGTCGTTTCGACTTACAGGTCCGCAAGGCCGAGCTCTTGAAGCAGACCAAGCCCAGCTGAGTGCGACTGCTTCCGCTGTGGCGAACCGGTGCAGATGCCAAGCGCCCAGCGCGGACGTCCGGTGGAGAAGACGCTGGTCCGCACCGAAGAAGACGACGGATGGGCCGCTGGAGGGCTGGCGACGGGTTGGGCGAATGGTGCAGTCCAGCCATGTGACCGTGACGTTTGCATGGAGTGCGCATGAGCCGCATGGAATTCTCCAATTCGGGTGCCCTTAGGACTGGGCGCTATCTCCCCGCTCCAGTCCTGATTGGACACCACAAAACACGCTGCCGGTCAGTGCTTTGTGCAGCGACTTTGTCCCCTTCGTGACTACCAAAGATCAAGGACCCTATACTATACAGAGTCATAGCTAGGAAACTAGGAAGGGGACTTTCTCAACCAGAGATCATGTCCTAGCTTTCAGGCTGCCTTGGAAAGAATTCTGAAAGGAATTGCTTGGAGTAGCCAAGAAAACCTGTTCCACGAAACATCTTCGCGACGTCAAAAAAACACATGAACAGTACATACATAACTTACATTCATACTATATATATATATATTTTTTTATTGCATGTTTATATTGTATTCTACTGTCCGGAGCCTCAACACCGCCCGCGGAGGTTCAGCTGGCGGATCAGCTCGCGGTCCCGTCGGCGGAAAGAAGCGCAGAGAAGTAGAGCGCAGCTCGTGCCGCGGGAGATACGGGTGGTCTCCTTTCTTTCATGGACACGGAAGCAGATCCTTTCAGATCCTCAGCACCAAACCCTGGTAATGGTGGTCGGCGTTGCCTCGAGAGAGGCGGGGGTGGGTTTTTGGGCCATTTTATAGAAGTCATGGGGATCAACCCTGCAGAAAGTGGAAGCAGCTGACTGCTGGATGGAGATTGCATAGTAGGGATGCTTTTGCGATCAACTTCCATGGTCCCAGAATGATCAGTGAAGTGAGATGATCCAGATTGAGGGCCAGGATAGTGCGGAGAAACGCGTGGAAAACTCATGAAACGTACACATTTGACATCATCGATCAGTTGCAGGGTTTGGGCTTATATGTGTACATATATATATATATATTTAATATATAGCTAGGGCATGTCCCACTACCAGTTACAGTTGGTCGGTGCAAGATGATCACTATTCTTGAGAAAGGCCTTTAATGTTCAATTAGCAATAGGACACCCCCTCCCCTCCCCCCTATGACTTTTTTTGGAGGTCAAACATCTCAATCTCAACTTCCAGGCCATTTGCTTTCATTTTGCTTTCATTTGCTTTAACTAACAGATTAAAGGGGTAATACACGTTGATTATTGAATGTTGGTTTATATTTGCAGGGGGTGGGAGTCTAAAGGGGTACCCTTTGAAGATATTTGTTTCTATTTGTTTGATCGGGTTTGTATCAAGAAACCTAAGGTTTTTGGCTAGCCAAAGGCATTGGAAATCTGATCGGCAAAGAAAAATACTAAAGATACCACAAAAGAACAAAAAGAAAAGGAACAGGAGCAGGATCAGGACAACGATAGGATAAATTAAAAGCACATGGGAAAACACAAGGCAAGGACAAGCCAGCAGGGCTGGAGGGAGGAGAATTGATGCTTCTCACTGGTTTTCTTTTAGGTCTGCCTGAGATTTCTGAGACGCAAGTAAAAGAGGAACCATTCTGAAGGCAAATTGGTATCTGAGAGAAAAAACTAATTATTGTTGTCTCATGTTTGCAATTGATTCGCAACGTGTTTTTATCTATTTTGGGGTCTGGATGTTGGTTAAATTAAAAGTATACATATATATATATATTATATTGCAAAATCCTGGCAGACCAACAAAGCTGATCATTATTCATGGTTTACTACTGCTAATTCAACATTACTAACAATCATCATCCACTGCCGTTCTTACTGGGGCATTGGATATATCTATAATAATTGCCCTATATTAGTATATAATTTGTATATATAAATCAATGTGGTTAGTTTATTCATTTGTTTATTCATTCTTGGCCATTCCGCTTTGGCAACTCACAGGTGCCCGAATGGCCTGCTTCGTTGTTCCGAAGAACTGGAGCCACACGTCCGTCGCCCGCCCTGGCACCGGGTCGCGGGCCCGGAGATCTGAGATCGTCAGCCGTTCCCTGCTGTAACGTGCTGAACTCATGGGTCAAGGACTCAAGGACTCAAAGACCACCGATAGGTGGATAGCACCTTTGAGAGAACGAATCGAAGCAAGCGACAAAGAAGCCTGGCTAACAGCCTCATGATCATCCACCCATCGAGATCCAGCAGAAGACCCAACCGGATGAGGAAAAGAAATGCGATGAATCGGCGATGAACTAAAAGGAAGGCCGAGATGATGGGCAATCTTGAAGACCAGAAGCCGAGGAACGGTGTCAAAGATTGGTTTGCACCAGGCCCAGTGGGGTTTGGCTTTGCAGGGACTGTTCCACTGCTGCCTGAGTCATCACCCTAATTTCTTTGTCTCTGGTCTGGTCCAGGCACCTTCACGTGAGTGAGAACCTGCTTTGATTTTGTCGAGCTCCAAGTTCCAAGCGCGAAGATCAGGACAAGAAAGATCAGGACAAGAGTGGGAGCCCGATCCCACTTAGGCAAACCATGCAGCAGGCCAACCTGCAACTGACTTGGCCAATGGTCTTCTCTCTTGCGGGAACGAGGTGAGAACAGAGACTGGACACAAAGCAAAGCAAGGCGGCATCATGAGTCAACTCTGCATCGTCCAGTGAGTGAGGATTGACAACGAGTGTTCAGCTGAATGGCCTGAAGAGGGGCAGATGGACAATTGGCAGTTGGCCTTCTTCCGGTGAGCCTGTGTGACCTGCTTCTGGGATGCATGCTTCTAGATGTATGCCGCAGAAGCTTATGTTTGACGAACTGGAACTGGGTTGCCGGTCGGGAAGCCAACGCTTTCAAGGCCAGGCACCTTTGTTGTAGAGGATTGGTTGAAGCTCTGAGGCCCTGAATCTAAAGGGTAGTTGAACCCGGCTGCGGTCCGCAAGCCAGAGCAGCTCTGGTGAGCTTCTGCAACAGTGCTGGCTGCTTTTGTCTCAAACGGGAGGCTCCTCGCACACATTCAAGGAGCACAACTGATGGCCTCAGTAGAAAGGCTGCCTTGAGAATGCTCCACAAAGCTAGATGGTTGGCAGGGGCATGGCTTTGAGGCAAGAACAGCAAAGTCCGGTCCAACTGTCCTCGAATGGAGATGTCCAAATGCCTGGCTCCGATACCAAACTATCCCAAACTGCCGGAAGGCACAAAACTCAAAGGCCTGGTCGACCACCTGAAGGCACAAACATGAACATCCTTTCCTTTCGGCACCATGTGCAACACGTCCACAGTGTCCGAGACTTCATGCCCACATGGGACAGTACGTCACCACGACAGTACGTCGTGCAAAAAGATCCGAAGGGCCATGCCAAAGGGACATGTGCTCCTTTTGGCTCCTGGAGTGTCCCTCACCACCCGGGACCAGGCCCGGAGCCGGTGGTCCACACCAAGCTCACTGAGACCCATTTGGTGAATCCATTGCGTCAACTATTTGCCGACTACAAGCTACTGCTGTAAGGACTTGAGAAAAAGCCTGAACTGGGTTCCAATCAAAATCATGATGTTGAACAACCACAACAAATTAATGCAAATACTGTATGTATCTGTATATAAATCATTGTGCTGCAATCCAAATCATGAGCAGCACCTGCAGCTGCAGGTGTTTGGCCCACATCCATTGTCCGTTGGCATCAGTCCCACCATTCCACCGTTCACATGCCTTTGACACCCTTGACACGTGGAGTACATGAGTGAGCCGACCCAACAACCAGTCCTTCGTGCTTTAAGATGCGATCATGTGATCTGGACACGGTGCCGATTGACCCTCCCGGGTCCCCGGCGTCAGGACCGCACCCAGGCAGGACATGACCTGAATACAGACCCTGGGTGGACGCAGGGAGCGTTCTCGACGGGTGGGCGACCCGGAAGACAGAGTCGAGCGGCCGTGGGCCAATTGATCAATTGTTTGTTCCTTTTAGGCCGTGGCATCTTGGTTATTTTGATTCTTCTTCCTCTGGGACCTAGACACAGAGATCTTGGACCACAGAAGTCGAAATGAAGGACATTTTGTGGGACCGAAAGGCGATGATCGGGCCCAAGGAGGGTACAGGCATTTGTCCATGTTAAAATTCATGTACATATGGTTCTCCGCGATAAGAAGGTCAAAAAGAAAGCTGCTGCTTGACAGTTATTCTAAATATATATATATATATATTCATATAGACACAGCATACATCATACTACATCATTGTCACCGAACCATTTGTTGATCCACTTCTAACACAACGAAGTCCTTCATGTGGAACCGTCTTCAGAAGGGAAGACTTGAACGGAGTTCGTCCAAACTTTATCAAGCTTGGCAGAAGGACCTCGTTGAGCGGTGCCCTTTGACCAGGCGAAGAAGTCGGACGTCTCACCGGTGGATCCAGAGGTGTGCGCTGTGTGGGCGCTCAGAGTTCCCGGGGTACAAAGCATTTGGACACGAAGGTCGACTGTTGATGGACAAAACCCCCTTAGGCCTTCGCAGTTTGATCCGCCAGCTTCCATGAGCGCCCCCAAGCAGGTCCAGGTTTTGGGCATTTTCCGTATGCGGGTGGAAGATGTGGAAGCTGAAGCCTGAGACTTGCCGAAGCAGGGTCCAGGACCATCCGTTTCTTGGACGTCCTGCAGGGGCCGAGTTCGAGCGTTTGAAATGAAAGTATGTACTCACCTGCAAGACCACTTGCAGCTCACATGGAAACTATTATAGGTGAATCTAGCAAAGTGCCTCAGCTACAGTCTTCGGAGATGGGGTGTTTGTGCGTTTGTTCTTGCGCAATTGATGGACAACGACAGGCCGTCCTCAGATGTACATCGGGTAGTGGTTTACACTGCCAACCAGCTTGGACAACTTGATGGCGCCTGGGATATCGTGTTTGAGATCTAGGACCTTTGCCAACAGTTCAACAGTCCCGGTTCCTTCCGCGCCTGATTTTGGTGATGTGTGTCCAGGACTAATCCTCCAAACTGCACGCAAGAAAACAATTGGCTAATTCATGCTAATTCGGGATTTTTGCTAAGAGCATCCAAAGTTTTGAAGGTGTCATTTGTCAAGTGGGTGCTCGCACAATGTCTCTTTCTAAAGAATTCCGCCGCACGGCGGCACAGATCCATTCTGCCAGCCGCCGCAGCTGAATAGAGTTCTTTTGAGAGATCAATCCCAAGACATCCAAAGACCAAGCCTGTCAGCTAGAGTTTTCCCTAGCATCCATGAAGCCCTCCATGAAAGCCTTCCAGCGTCGGACGGCTTTATTTACTTCGGGACAGCGACAGCACACATCAACTTAGCCTTGAAACCTCTGTCATCATGTCGCTAAACGTGCAGACAAGACAATGCCTCGGTCTGGATGTAAGATACAGAAAGACCAGCGCTTCCAAATGCTTCCAACATCATATTTCGGGGAGTTTCAGTGATCCCAACATTCACCACGACTCCAAAACAGTCTCATGTTGTAGAAGATCCCTTTCCAGGCTTCGTGACTCAACACGTGATTTGTTCGACTCAACATCTGCCCATCCAAACCTTCGTTCGCATGGCGAGCCGTTCCAGAACGGCCCTTCGACTCGGTCTATCACTGCTGGGTCTTAGCCGCTGTGGCCTAGGGTTCGAGTGCCTTAGATTTGAAATTGGGCGTCGCATCGCCAGAGTTCGGCGCGGCGGCAATACTCGGAAAAAGGAGAAAGATGGAGAAATGAAGATCGACTGAAATGACAATTAAGACCTTCTGGGGGCTGAGCTAGTTATTGATCATCGGTGAAGATCAATGAAGTTTAACCCAGAGAGTGACTGAGCTCTCAACTCCGGGCTGGGCATGCTGCTGGCAGCTTTGGCAGGTATCCTTTCGCAGGGCGATTGAGAGAGAGAGAGAGAGAGAGAACGAGAGAAAGAGAGAAGGCAGATAAAGAAAGAACAAAACTGAACAGGAGAAAGAACTAAAAGGAAGAAAGGAAAGAAAGAAAGAAGGAAAGAGCAACCACGGCAACAGAATGTGCCCCTGCCACCAAGAAACATCGAAGCGGGACATGGATCAGGCTGACCCCCTTGGAAGAAAGAATATGTGTGGGCACTACGTATTTTTTTTGTTCCCCTTGTGTCCACGAAGCTGCACCAGGACCGGCGAAGTCCCTTCTGAACTGGAATCCTACGTCACCGACCCCATCGCCCGGCACACCGCTTGCGCAGTGGATGCGAACACCGCCACGGTGTCTCAGATCATACTTCAAGCCGATCGACGCCTTCCAAATCGAGGGCACCATGCCCATGGGGTTTTCCGCCTGTCATGAGCAACATGATCAGAGCAGTCCAATGGCCCAAATCACGTGAGTCAACGAATCTCCACTTGTGGTGTGGGCTATTAGGATTAGAAAGATGGCCTCGGATGCTACAAGTCATTATGTTTCACCTGCTTGGGGAAATGGTTTCCCGCAATTGTTTGCAAAATGCGGTACAGTGTGGGGCCTTCAAGTTTCAGATGATGTCGGGCGCACAGACCTGCATTTGGTGCACCCTGCCCTGCAGCAGCGTGAAGGATCCTTTTTGTCGTATGTTGAACTATGTTGAACGTAGAACTGCGCACTACAAAATTCAACCCAAACATGTGAGTTGAACTTGGCATCATAGTACACAGTAGTGTGCACTGTATACAGATGAAAAGTTAATCATAGTTATACAATGTTGTACATACAGACGCACACACATATATATATATATGTACAATATGTACACATTCTGCTGAACATGCATATGTATAATAATCGAGTGTTACGCCCCCTATGCCCTCCAATCCCGCCCCCCAAACAGGCCGACACCGCTCCCGAAGGTTTGTGTGCTGGAAGGCTTCGTCTCGCAAGCGACCACGCTGGAGTGGCCGGGACCGTGAAATGGGGTGTGTGGTGTCCATGATGTGTTTGCCCCTCCTGGGGCAAAGAAGGGTAGGATGTTTCATGATGTTTCTATGTGAGCAACCACCCCTGGACATGGGTCTTCGGATTTCAGGCTGCCATTGGCCAATGTGGTCCACTTCGGTTACCGGCTGGTGGTTGTGGGTCCTGCTCGGTCCAGCGGTGTTTTCTGTGGCACCGTCGGCGTCGTTGCGGGTTACACCCAGTGGATGCCGAGGGGCATCCTGGGGCCTATGGCTGGGATATCCCAAGGGTTCAGCATCCTGGAGCATTCTCAGGCCTAAAAGAATGTGTTGTGTTTTGTTATTGTTGTTTTGTTTTTCTTGAGGGGAATTTCTTTGGTCGTGTTGGACAGGTTTCACGAAGCGTGAGTTGCTCCAGCTAGTCCACAATTGTAGCACCCAGGCCCAGGGCCAGGCTCATCACGAAAGCTAGCGAAGCTAGCTGGAGTTACTCTTGCGATAGCAAGGTTTCTTTCGACCGGGTGCAAATCCTAACCCCTGATTTTTCAGGTCGAAGACCCCCCCCCCCCCG